AGCTAGCAAAGATAAGGTGTTCAGTATTATACTAGGATACGAAGCTAGCTAAGATAAGGTGTTCAGTGTTATACTAGGATACGAAGCTAGCTAAGATAAGGTGTTCAGTGTTATACTGGGATACGAAACTAGCTAAGATAATGTATTTGGTGGTATACTAGGATATGAAACTAGGTATGATAATGCACTGTGTTATACTAGGATATGAAACTAGCTAAGATAACATGTTCATTGCTATACTAGTATATGAATCTAGCTAAGATAATGAATTCAGTGTTTATATTAGGATATGAAACTAGGTAATGTAATGCATTCAGTGTTATACTAGCATATCAAACTAGCTAAGATAATGTGTTCAGTGTTGTACTAGGATATGAAACTAGCAAAGAGAAGTTGTTCAGTGGTATACTAGGATATGAATCTAGCTAAGATAATGTGTTAGTGTTATGCTAGTATGTGAAACTAGATAAGATAGTGTGTTCAGAATCATAAAATGTTACAGTAGGATATGAAACTAGGTAATATAGTGTGTTCAGAATCATAGTGTTATAGTAGGATATGAAACTGGGTAAGATAGTGTGTTCAGTGTTATACTAGGATATGAAACTAGGTAATGTAGTGCATTCAGTGTTATACTAGCATATGAAACTAGCTAAGATAATGTGTTTGGTGTTATACTAGTATATATAACTAGCAAAGATGATGTGTTAGTGTTATACTAGTATATGAAACTAGGTAAGATGGTGTGTTCAGAATCATAAAGTGTTATACTAGTATATGAAACTAGGTAAGATAGTGTGTTCAGAATCATAAAGTGTTATAGTAGGATATGAATCTAGGTAAGATGGTGTTATAGTAGGATATGAATCTAGGTAAGATAGTGTGTTCAGAATCATAAAGTGTTACAGTAGGATATGAAACTAGGTAAGATAGTGTTCAGAATCATAGTGTTATAGTAGAATGTGAATTTATCTAGAATATCAATAGTGAATGAAGAGTAGTGTGACTTTGTTATTTTTCCTTGACAGGGTGTGTGGAGTGTGTAAACGTCCTTTCACTGAAGCAGCATTTGCTTGGTATCCCAACAACATCATCATTCACCCACAGTGTGCGAAAAACTCACTGATGTGTCCAGTTACGGGCAATGTCTTTGGTTGTACAGACTTGAAACCAAGGTGACAGAAACTTTGTTAAGTTTGTGGGTCCTGTGTTTCGTAATGAACTGACTTAGAACTAAGTAACATCAATTCGAGTTAGAAGCTCGGGAATTTCAACACCCTTTTCCAGCAACCTTACTTTAATCTCAGCTGAATGAACTTAAATCACATTAAATATGTGAGTTTTGTTTGGTTATTGCTTAGCTTGGGTGACAACATTTGGAAGTGTGGGAACTAAGGTTACTGTTCGATTATTGTTATGATCACATTATAGGTCCTCAACTGATCAAAACTTTTTTTATTAGCTAATAATGGTTTCTGTAAAAACTCTTAGAACTTTTGATAAATTTGTAGACTTCACATGATGGAGCTTGATTTCCCAGTGAATTTGTACATTTTTCTGTTTTGTTAAATTGGATCGAACATGTATCTATGATGGGTTATGTAGTTTGAAAGGAATGCCATTTGAGACGTCTTTCATAAATGAAAAAATCATCATGGCTGCTGTTGAACTAACTAATCATGTAATAAGCCATGTTATGCAGTTTCAAAATCACAACTTTAATGTTTCTAGCATTGTTAATGAATTCTTTTAGACCAGGTGAAAGGTCTAACTCGTACATTTTGTTGACATTAACACAAAATTTTAAACACAGGAAGTTGCAAGTGCTAGAAGTCATTGCATGGGAATGTTCGAATTGTCTTCAGCTATTGCAGGGTAATTATCAGATCCCTTGTTATGGTTCACAAACCTAGACATACTTCTGTTCAAGAGAATATAATAGAGGTATATTATAATTATTTATAAAGGTGTATGTCTATTCACACTCAGCTTCTCCTAAGAAATTATAAATAACAATAAATGACCTTATTAATAAAATCTATCATGCACTTGATTCTCTGTACATTTTTTTAAGTTACTGTAACTGTTTACTGTTGTTTCAGAGGCTGATAAGACTGACAGGAATTGTATCTTATAATTGACTCAAAGAACGTAGGAGAAGCGATCAATATGTTTAGTTGGAATTTTTAACTGTTGTAATAGTTTTATGGCTGATAGTAAACACTTTAGTTACAAAGTTTAATATGAGAGACTTGCAATATGTTTGAGATGCTAAAAAAACACGAAAGAGAATTCACAAACGCTGCCCCTATTAAACTTCATCATTACATTTATGTTTACCTTAGAAATACTACTACTTTTACCTTAGCAGTAGTTTGTGGTAATATCTTTGCTTGAGCTTCAGTTCGTGGTATTATCCTTACTTTAGTAGCAATACATGCTATTACCTTTACCTTAGCAACAGTGTACAGGTGTCCAAAAAGTCTGTAACCACAGGCACTTCAATGAATTTTATAAAATGTGTACCACATGCTGTTCTTCTAATTCTAAACAAGTTTGGATTAACAGCAGGATTAACTTGACCTTCACATGCTTTAACAGCGCCATAATAAGTCACATATCTGAAATTAGGAAAAGCTGCAAATCACCTATGGTTACAGACTTTTCAGACACCCTGTAGAGAATAACTTGATAATTGTGTTGGTGAAATCCTGTTTGATTTGTTATTCTCTCAGGTTTTTATGAACCACATTTATAAGTGATCCAAACGTCAGTATATTACAAATCCTGTAACAGTCTTTATCTTGTTTTCTATATAATTTTATTGAATATACAGAAAAATGACAAATATATTAATTTGAAAAGGAGATATTTATTCACTTCCAGAAATTGCTTTAAAGTAGAAAGAGGAAGTATTTTGTGTTTGTTCATTAAATTAATTCTCCCATTTGATTTATAAAGAAGCTCTTAGAATAGAGATAGTGGAACTTATTTGAAGAAGAGCACTGATGATGTTGACAGGGATAAATATTTCGTGATACATAATAAAAAATGTAAAAGATCTTCAGTTTTAATTTGGCTTTTTTTTTCTGTATCTATGGAATAACTTGTTTTTTTTCTTCTCTATATATGGAGTAAATTACTTTTTTTCGTCTCTAGCTATGGAATTTTGAATTATTTCACTTAAAAAAATATTTCGAAAAATTCCAACATACATGCTTCTTTTATAAACTTCAAGGTGAAATCTGTATCATTTGTAACTTGTATAGGATAACATTCTAGCATCATATGAAGGCAATGTGTAGTAGTCACTAGTTAAGTGTGCCCTGCTTCAACTTACACACACCCAAAAACTGTGAAGTTACGTTAAAGGTTTATAAAAGCAACACTGAGTAAACCATCCTGACACAAGATAGATTATAAACATTTTACAATGCCTACAGGATTTTGTGTCATTCCTTCAACCTAATAGCAGCTGAAGGACATTGTAACAAAACTGTGTAGGATTTAGAAGGTCCGTGAAAGAGAGTAATCCATGTTTTTGCTATATGACTTCGATTGTAAAATTCAATTAGCTTTACTATCGATACTTTGATAATGGAACAGACATGTTAAAGTCGGACTAAATTCGGAAAAAAGCCTTACTGTCTTAATAGATTTATGTATTTTGATTGAAAATTCCTAATTTTGAAACCGATCTATTGTTGGTCGTCTTTTTCGGAGGTAAAGTAAAATTGAAGCTAGCGGGAAATTTCAAAACAAATCAAGACTTAAATCTTGGGAGTTTTGATTAAAAGAGATCCATTTTGTAAAGCGTATAGCATCCTTGTAGACGAATAACATGAAAAAAAAACTTTCACGAAAGTTTTAAAAAAGAATATTTTTCGTAAAGTTTTTGAAGCATGCAAACAATGTACGTATTTTAATGCAAAATTAGGTGTCAAATCTCCGATTATTTTACTTTTTTTTAGAAAAATTCAAAACAAAAACATTAGCACTTTAACCCTTCAACTGCGGTTGACATCATATGATGCAAGCATTTTGCAAAAATTCGCAAATCTTTGTTAATAGGGTGGTAGGCAGATTTACACAAGCCGTAAAGAAAGGGTTAATGGCAAATCTTTGTTAATAGGGTGGTAGGCAGATTTACACAAGCCGCAAACGAAGGGTTAATGGCAAATATTATATTGCTTCCAAAGGTAAAAAAAAATAATTTTATCTTAACCACAATAAGAGAAAACTTAAAGTTGGATTAAATTAAATCATAATGACCTAGATTTATTGTTTGTCATTTCTTCAGAAATAAAGTAAAATCGAGGTTAGTAGGAATATTCATGACAAATACAGACTTAGATCAATGGAAGTTTCGACAAAAAGAGTTCCATTTTGAAAATCGTTCGTCATACGTGTCTTAATAGTCGAAGAATATAATAAGTAAATTTTTACAGTGTTTTTAAAAAATACCAACCTTGGCCATTTTGATGAAATAATTTTTTTGAAACACGCACAAAATTTGGTATTTTAATCGAAAACAAAGTGTGGAATGATCGATTGCGTTTATTTTGTAGAAATATTGAAGACTGAAACACGAGGACATCGATGAAAAAAATATTATATCGTTTGTAAACCTACAAAAAAAAATTATCTTTTTCCAGCATAGGGGGCAAACCTAAAGGAAAACTAAATTAGGAAAGAAGAGATAAAGACGTTCTAGGTTTAGGATATGTGATTGAAAATCTGTCTTTTTTTTAATTCCCTTTATTTTTGTCTCTTCTTGAGAAGTAAATTAAAATCGAGGCTAGCCGGAATATTGATGACAAATCAAGGTTTAAGTCTATGGAATTTTGATGAAAAGAGGTCTATTTTAAAAAACGTATGCGAAGTAAGGGCTTTTATTTATACTTCTTAATAGTATAAATATATACTGTGTTATTGTTGGGCTTGGGATTCTTATACAGTTGGTGTCTGTGACTTGTTGACGATAAATGAACAGCACACACAGCATATTGTTACGTCTCTGTTCGTTTGTTAATTTCCCGTAAAAATTCTTCCCGAGAAACTTCAGCGATACAAGTTTCTCTTAAATAAAACTAGTTTATTTTTTCTCAATACAACTTTGCAATACACTTAATTTCCACAGTCACTTTAACTTAAACACACGCTAGAATTCACAACGATTCACGCACTTTATTTACGGCTTGACTCAATTATCTGTCTATATCTCTCTGTCTGCAATTCAATTATTGCCGTCACTTTATTTTCCGGCTTATATACTAAAATAGAGGGCGCCTAGAAAAGACTAGAGTTGCCAGGAACAGTCATAATCCTTCTAGAAATGCCAGCGTGCATGCTTCAGGCGTCGCGTGACTTCCGCTATCATAACATTGCCCCATACCTTT